TTTCTCCAGACTTATCCAGTGATCTCCAGAATTTTTCCAAAATTCTCCAGTAGTTCTCCAGAATTTTTTTAGTATTTTTCATTATTTCTCAAGAAACTGTCTAGAATTTTCCAGACTTCTCCAGTAATTCTCCAGAATTTTATCCAGGCTTATCCAGAATTTTTTTAAGTATTTTGCTTTATTAATTCTCTAGAAATTGTTCTAAAATTGTCTCCAAACTTTTTTCAAAATTTTTTTCAGGTTTCTCCTCCGGGAATTTTCCAGATACTCATTATTATTGTGATTTGTATTTTAAATATGAGTATGAATTCGAATCGGGAAAGGAGGACGGGGGGGGGGGGGAGAGGGAAAGAGCAAAAAAAAATTTTTCTTTTTTCAATCATTTTTTTTTTTTTTGAACGTGTATTTCGTATAAAAATAAAAAAAATGTTTGTCGTGGTGCTAGATAATAATAAAAAATGATCGTGGATTTAAGAGGCTAAATAATTAGAAACGGCCGTTATTATACTGGAAATTTCATCTGGACAATTTTTAAATTCCAAATGACAATTTTTTTTCTTTTCGCCATATTCGATAGCTTTTTTCAAATCCGTACCGTCGAGAAACGTTTTCATCAAATCGTTCCTAAAGGAAAATTTATTATCATTATCATTATTATTATTATTATTATTATTAAATCGTTATCACTGTTATCAGTGAAACTTACTTGGAAAGAACGTCGACAATATTTTCCAATTCGTTAGCCGTACGATTTTCAACTTTTTCATTTGCCGTTTGTATAGATTGACAAATGGCACGTTGAACGCAACCGGATGACGCCACGTTATAACCGTTTAAACTTTCTTGTATTTTATTTATCACATCCGTAAATCCACTTCCGTTTCCGGTTTCTTCCTCATCTGTAAATCATCATCTTAATCGTAATCATCATCATCAAAAATTTTAATTTTTTTTTTTTTCGATTACGTTACCTTCGCTTCTTTTATATCCCGAATACGGACTCGAAGTTGATGCCACGTGAAAAAGTTTTGGGAGTATAAAAAATGCACCTAAACCCACGATAGTACCCAAAACTAATCCACCGATATCCAATTTAACAGGGCCGTATATACCTGGTAAAACGTGACCCGACTACCGGAAGGAAGGGGAAAAACCGTTAAAATAAAATTGGCAACACTGGAAATTAGAGTTTGAAAAAAATTTTACCTGTACGTCACCCGTATAAGTTTGAAATCCGTATCTTGCCGGTCTGTCGTGTATTTCATCTTCTTCTTCTTCCACTTTTTCATTACGACGATCGTAATACGTCATAGTTGTGACGTTTTTTAAATTTTTCGTATCGTTATCGTTATCGTAATAAATAATTTTTTTATCATTATTATCGATAATCGGCGACGTTTCGTATTTCGGATAACAAAAAACGATTTTAATGATAACGAATAAAAAAAAAACGATCAACTTTGAAGACGACATTTTTTTAAAACCGGAAATGACGTCAAAATTTTAACGGTAACAAATGAAAAAAAATTTTAAAATGCGTCGCCTTATATATATAAAATTCACGGATGCTTTAATAAATAAACAATTTTAAATTTCACTTTTTAAAAAAGAAAGAAAAAAAAATTTCCAGTCGGTTGTTCTCTTTTTTTTTTGTTTTTTATCAACATTCCGTGGAATTAGATAAAAAAAAAGTCGTTTAATTAACCGAAAATAATTTTCTTTTTGTTTTGTTGACGACACGCGATTTGATTATTGTTCGACAAACAAACACAATCGTTTATTTTTTTTTTCTTTTCGAACCGTTAAAAATAATAATAATGATATTTTTGAAATGTTAAATGTTAGGATTTGAAAATGAGGAGAAATGACGTCACCTGAAAATTTCAAAAGGAGGAAGATATGGATAGGATGTGGTTTATGGGGAAATGAAAACGGAAATGATAATCGTGAGAGGAGTGTGGTGGGAGTGTGTACTCCTGTAATCCAATTACTCGGAGGTTAGGTAAGGAGGATGTTTTAAGGGGGCGGGGGGTTGTGGGATTGGATTTTCCACGTTTACTAGACGTCAGGTAGGAGTTAAGCTTCAACTTGGATTCCTTGGGGAAGCCCAAGGTCGTCGTGAGTTCAAATCAAATCAATTTCAGCTCGTCCGAACAAGAACAGACCTGTACCTAAATAAATAAGGGGATAAATGACGTAGAACCCTTGTATGAGGGGATGAAACTGGATACTTGATCCAAATAGGGAAAACGCAGAGCTGCGATGTGAAAGAAAGACAGATGAACGGGATTCGCGACCTCGGACATCTCAACGGAAGAGCCAGGAACGATGGTAACAGATCAGGATTGTCTCTGGAAGGGTAAAAAAGGGGAAGTACCGGGGTCATCCTCAGGTGGGATTCCCCCGTTCGCGAATGTGGACCTGATGGTTTTGGCTAAGGAGGCGGAGTTGAGGCCCCTCCTTCCGGAAAGAACCCGAAGTTTTAGATGGGTAGTGGTTTCCGCCGAGTTTTCCCACACTCTTCCTGCTACCGGGTGAGAAGGTTAGTGCAAAATGCTTCATTTCTCCTGGATTAACAAAAAAAAAAAAAAAAGGGGGATCCCTACAGGAATTATTCGATGACGTCATCATTCGGATATGTATCTAGAAAAAACTCCGATCGATAAATTTTTTTTATCATTAAACGTGGCAGCAGTGATAAGGATAACAATCTCCAGCGGGTAAATTTGTACGAAAATGACACGCGTACGCACGCACGCACAATCCTAATAATAATAAAACGAAATTTTTGGAATAATACTAAATAATAATAATAATAAAACGAAAGTAAAATTTTCGAAAGTTTTCCTTCGCGCCATTTTCTTTTTTTTTTTTTTACTTTTTCTTCAGAAATAAAAAAATGATTACTCACTCCATAATGCGTAACAATAACAATTCCGATTTTCGTTTATTTATTACGTAATTCAAAAACAAACCACTATTATTATTATTATTATTATTATCATTATTATTATTATCATAATTATTACTATCATTATTATTATTATTATTATTTAGCAAACGACGCTCATGTCGGTTTTTCTTTCAAATCATCATCATAATCATCATTACTTTTTTACGTTGTATAAAATTTTAAATAACGATCATAATAGAACATCAATAATAATAATAATAATTTAACGGTTCGTTTAACCGAATCGATTTTATCACAACGTAAAAAATGGAGAAAGTCAAACATTTTTTTTTCCGAAACGATTTTTTAACGGACGCCATTTTTTTTTTTATTGTCTTTTGAAATATAACAATACATAATTTAATAAATGGATAAATAAATAAACAAACGGTTTCAAATTTTATTTTATTGATTTTTTATCGATCGAAAGTTCGTTTGTGATCCCGATTGAGAGAGACATGACGTGACTCGTACGCGTTCGATACATCGTCCGATCGATATCTCGATTCAAGTGCGCGTGTGAAAATTAAAATTACTTATTATTATTATTATCATTTATTTATATTTTGTACAAAAATGAAAAATTTCATTTTTTACAATTTATTATTACAAGGATTATTCGTCGTGGAATTAATTTCGTGTCAATTGATCGACATTGATGCCACGTTGAATCCCGAGGATTTGAACGAAGATCAAATATTTGCTAGCAGAAAAGAAAGATTCATTAAATTCAATCACAAGGATAACGAATTGGTGGTGAGTTTTTCCCCTCCCCTCCCTCTCTTTTTCTCTCGTTAAAATTTTTTTTGTGGGGATTTTTTGACAGGTCGAAGTTGGGATTTCCGTTCCATTCATTAACGTTCCACTCATGACCGGAAGGGATTTATTTCATCAAAATCATAATCCCCAGATAAAAATCAACGCTCCCGGATTGATTATCGCGGGTTTGCTCATGTTCACGTCTTTTGTCGTCGTTCCGACATTGTTTTCAAATAATCCCAACTCGGGTTTTGGATTTCAAAGAAAAGGTAACGTAGTTTTCCCATTTCCCGCTTTCCCGGGATTTTTTCCTGATGACGTCATCAGCGCTTAAATTTTTCAGACGACGACAACGTCAATCGTTACGCTTTTCTCAACAACATAGAAAAAGCTCTCGTCAAAAGCGGCATAGATTTTCCATCTTGTTTTCGTAAATCAATTTGCTGGATCATGACGAAATCCCCAAAAAATGATAAACGGGAAGGAGGAGGAGGAGAAGAGGAGGAAGAAAGCGACGTTGCCAAACAGTGGATCGATTACGTTCTCAAGTAAGTCACGGAGAAAGAAAAGAGAAAAAATAAATAAATTTTTCAAAGTTTTTATTTGTCCGAATTAATTTTTTTTCCAGGTCTTGGTGGTTCGAACGTTTGACGAGAGGTACGTTCGTCGATGACGTCATTAATAACAGTTCGAACGCTTGCGATTTGAAATGTTCGATGAATTATAAAAATCTTTTCGCATTCACTGAAATGATTAAAATGGGAAAAAATTATTTTTTTTAAATGAGAAAAAAAAAATAATTAAATTCCACGCCCCCCCCACCCCACCCCCCGATAAGTTTTACCTTTTTCCGCTTTTTCACTTTGGAGCTTGATGTCGATAATAATAATAATAATAATAATAATAATAATTGAATAAAATTTATTTCTTATGCAAATGAGGCGCTGATATTTTTACTTTTCCAGGAAGATTCCTTGCTAAATTTTCATCTTTCACGCTCTTGAGAAGATCTTTTTCCCTGTTAATCAAAATAATAATAATGATAATAATAATAATAATAATAATAATAATAATGTATAAACGTTTTACAAGTTAATGACAAATGGCATGATAGAGAAGAGCTAAGGCGAAAAAGTTTTGGAGAATTTTGGAGAATCAACTAAAGGAATCAGATTAGGACATTTTGGAATACCGTAAAATGCCAGAAAGACAAAAGGAAAGATGGAAAAGTCGCTGACAAACAATGACAACAACAACGACAACAAATTAAAATCAACGAGGATTTAGGAGGAGGGGTAGGTGGGTGGGTGTGCGCGTGTCACGTACCTCTGAGTGCAATTTTTATCTTTTAAAAACATCGTAACGGCCGTTCTCGCCGCTTTCCCTCTTTTACCCGTGCCCGGCGTCATTTTAACTTTGAATCTGAAATCATAATAAAGTAAAGTAAATAAAAACAAATTCGTGCGGGGAAATTTTTTTTCAAGTCGGCGACGGGGAAATTTGTCGCAAACATTTTTTTCCCCCTCTTTATTTATATTATATTCCGCTCACTTGTAATTTTGTAGAGTGTTGTAGGGTGCGACGACGGGTACGGCGAATATCAATTCGTCTTCGACGAGCGGCGTTCCCGTTAAACTCGTCAACATTTCAACGTCCGTGTTAGCAAGAGGCTCTTGGGATTCATCATCGGAATCGACATCGACGCTTGAAAATAAATTTCGAATGAAAACTAGTGACACGACGACGACAACAACAAGGTAAAATACTTTTTATATTTAACTTACTTATCGGGATTTTCAACGGTTTTTTGTAAAATTTTTCCTTCTTCGTTTTTCTTTCTCCCCGACGACGCATTGTTTTTTTCCCCATGATTGATTGATGCCTTTTTATTGTTTGCCTTTTCTTTTTTAAGAGTTTTCTTTTGAACGTTCTAGAACAACAAAACGAACAAGTTTTCATTCCCTGGTGTTCTCTTTCCAATTTAAAATTAAAAATACACAACCTGTAATATTTCCAATGTGAGCTGCCTATCCTCCTCATCTTGATCTTTATATTTTTCTTTTATCTTTTTCAATTTTCCTTTCCTACCCTTTTTTATTACTTTTTCATCTTCTTTGTTATTCCCATTCTTTGACGATTCTAATTAAAAAACAATTTCCCATCATTATTATCATCATCATTAGAAACAGGTACAAATCAACCCTCGTATTTTTTTTTTTTTCTTACCTTTTTGCTTTTCGTTTTTAACCATTTCGCGACCATCGCCGCCATCTTTAATTTTATTATTTTTACTTTTGTCGTTATGACTATTTTCTTTCGTTTTTTTCTTTTCGTTTTTCTTTTTTAATACGACTGGTTTTTCATCGCCCAAATAAACAATCAATTCATCTTCGTTTTTATCATTATCAACATCATCTTCTTTCGAAATTTTCTCTCTGTCCCCCCAAAGGAAAAAAAAAATAAATAAATAAACAAATAAATAATCAAAAATTTTCATTTTAATTTTTAAAAATTAAAAAACTCACTTTTCTTTTCCCCTTGATGATGATGATGATGATGAATAAATTTTTATTTCCGTATCTGGAAAAAAATTTTCTTCCCCTTGTTCTCCCCCTTCTTCTTCTTCTTCTGGAATCGCTGACAAATCGTGATTTTTATTCTTTCCTATAATCATTCAAATAAAATTTTGACGACACTTTAATGGAAAAGAGAAAATTCTTATTAAAAAAAAAAAAAATACCATTTTCTTCTTCATCGTCATCATCATCATCATCATCTTCTCCATCGCTCAAAACGATTTCTTCTTCATCTTCAACGGTTCCAGACGACATTGTCGTCGTCGTCGTCGTCGTCATTTTCCCATCTTCTTCCAAACTACGAACTTTACGATCGTCTTTGTGCCTGGAAAAAAATTTCTTTTTTTCTCATCATCCCTTTAATTAAAACTTTGGTAAGTTCGGTAATAAAAAAACTCACCGGGATAAAGAATTATCATCCAATTTGAATAAAAAACTAAAACCCATAATTAAATTAGCCGGTGGTAAATAATTTTTTTTTCCTCTTATCATGAACGAACCCGTTCCCAAATATTCTCCCGTGGGTGCAGTTTTCGATACTTGAGTGTTGTGAACCCACCAGGCTGACGTCACGACTTTAGCTTCCCACGCTTGACTGAAAACGAACGAACATACTGTATTATTATTATTATTATTACTTTTTAAATCAAAAACGAATTATTAAACGGGGGGGGGGGCGGGGCGGAAAGGGGGATACCTGTAACTGATCGCCATTACTCCAGCTTCGTTTAGGGTTTTCGGGGGTACGGGTTCGTTACTTGGATTTTTAATGATGACGCTACTCGCACCGTGAATGTCGGCATGAACGTATAAATCCCCCGATTTCATGTATCTTTTCACTAGTAATTCATTTTGCATCATGTCTCTACCCGCGATAACTACAAAAACAAAATAATCAATCAATTAAAAAACTATAAGCGTCGCCATTGCCGCCATCTTGTACTACTACCTAAATAATTTTCCGAACTTATAAACCAGAAAAATTTCTCGAACCAAAATGTTTTCCTAACTTTTGTTATGTTCACGATGGTTTTCATTTCTTTTAGTGCCTGTTTAGTTTTTTTCTCGGCGGATTTTAATGCTTTATCTTGGGATTCGATTGTTTTCTGTTGTTTTTTCGCAGCTGATCTTTTCATATCGTAATACCTGGGAAAAAAAAAGGATTTTATTTATACGATTCGAATGAAATTTCAACTAATCGAGCCTGTCTCACTTACTTTCTTGCATTTGCAAAAGCCGTTAAATCTAAATCTATATCGACATCAATTATTTTAGGTACTTTTATTTTAATTGGTTTGTCATCATTTGTTTCTTCTTCCTCCTCCTCCTCTGATGATGATGAATCACTTCTGTAGGGATCACTGATAGAAAACAAAACTTACATGGTTTTATCCAAAAAAACTCTTCATAATAAATAACATGATTACCTTAATTGTAACGTTATGTGATTTATATCCAATTTTAATTTTTTTATAGAACTTGCAACGGGATCCCCGGCATTTTTTCCCTCTTTAACTAATATATCAATGTCAGGCCATGATATTTGATTGGCTATTGCAGTACGAATGGCTAAAACAGCTTGATCGACAAGTGTTAAATTTGTCGTTATCAATTCAGCTTTGATTCTGTCTAATTCTTGTGTTTCGAATAATTGTTGTAACCTTTGATTGTGATCACGACGTACATTTTCGATTTTTTTCAATGCTTCTTTTTCCTACACCAAACAATAGTCAATAATTCTTTTAGGTTAAACAGAAACAAAACCAATCGAAATCATTTATCAAACCTGATTAATAGCTTTCATATCAATTTTTTGACTTTCTAATGATGAAAAAAAACTATCGACAGCTTTTAAAAATGTTTCACATTCATTAAATGGATTTTTGACATGTTGTCGAAATAAAAATGGATGAAATTCTGTGTTCACGTGAAAATCACTCATTCCAGACTCTGTAGGTCTTTTTTCAACTTTTTGTATTATGTAACCCTGTTAAAAATATAAATTTAATAAATTTTGTACTCGAAATAAAAAAAAATGAATAAATTGTCATTATTTATTCACCTTTGAAACTGATAATGATGCATTTTCTACAATATCTTGAGCTTCTTTCAGTGCATTTATAATTTTCGATAAATTATTTTGTAAATCGAATCCCTGACCGATTTTTTCTGTACCTCTTAAATCAACTCCTAATAAAACATGTTCAATCAATGCCGGACCATAATCTGTAGTTATCAAAAAAAGAAAACGATTAACATTTTTTATTTTTACAATTTGAAATGAAAAACATTAAACATCACATACCTAAATTAAAATTTAATATTTTTTTAAGATTGTCATTTGATTTAGCCGATGCAAATATATTTTTAATTTGTTCTTCTGTCGGAAAATTACAAACATCTCTCGCTCTATTTATAGGATATTTTTCTCTAACTGCGAACCTAATAATTTTTTCGATAATATTTAAATCTTTTAAAAGTGAAACATTTTTTAAATCATATACACAAACCTAATTTTATCTCCTTCTGTATGAGGTCTCAATATATTTAATATAATTAAATCACAGTCAGTTAAAACAATATTTCCTTTATCGTATAATTCTAGGAAGACATGATAGGCAGCATCTCCTGTACCAAATTGTAAATGTACAATTCTATCAAAACCTAATTGTTTTAATGATTCTAACCTTTTATTTCTTAAATGTTTCCTTAACTGTTTGAACGCGTAAAATATTTTAATAAATTTTAGTATTTAGTTATTGGTTTAACAATTAATTTAAATTTACATACAATGTTATCATACTTTCATACAAAATCCTGAGGGTGCAACATTTTTAGGCCATTCAAAATCCGTTGTGTGAATTCTAGTACCGGATTCTAAAAGTATAACTACTTTTTCATCGGTTTTTTGTAATCTTATTAAATAAGTTTTATGATCTATGTCATAAACTTGATTAACCCTTAAACCTATGTACCTAAATTTCAAATAATAACATCATCATTAATAAAAATAAGATAAAAATACAATTATGCAATACGGAAAATTGATAATTCAAATTACTTTTGAAATTCTGCTACGCTACAAACAATATCAAACGTGCTAAAACGCGTTTTCATTTTTATTATTATTATTATTATTATTATAATTAAATTACAATTTATTTTTAATAATTATACATATATTTATATATGTACACATATAAGAAACAAAATATGTATTTTATCGTGGGATTAGACGAGAAATTTATTATTGCGTAACACAAACCTTATATTAAAACAAATAACCTTTTTATATGAGAGGGTCCCATGGTGTAATGGTTAGCACTCTGGACTCTGAATCCAGCGATCCGAGTTCAAATCTCGGTGGGACCTTCAAAACAAAAATTTTTTTTACCCCCATCTTCATATTTTTTTTTCTTTTTTTTAAATTACTCGGAAAATCTCATCCGGAAAAAGGAAAATATTAATCATTTTCTCTCTCTCTCTCTCGCTCTCTTTAGGAATAATAAAATTTAAATTTTTTGTTTAAAACGGTAAAAAAAATCTTTTTTATTAAAATTAATTTAAAATAATTAAATACATTAAATCGAAAATACGTTTAATAATAATAATGATAATACTTATAATCTAATGATTTATTTGAAAAACGGTAAAATGACGTCATGAAATTTTTTTATCGTACGTAATTAAAAGCGTTTACGTCATACATTTTAATCAATTAATAATAATAATTTATTTACATGTGAAAAAGAAAAGGTTTTGTCGTTTGAAATCGTTTGATTTTTCCGTTTTTATTTACATTTTCCACGTGATTAAAGTTTCCAAATTTTCAATTAGTGCATATTTGGAAAAATTTAAACATTCTACTAAATTAGCAAGATGTGTTATTATTTTTTGATGTATATCATCCGGAGCTTTCGTTTTCGATGTTATTTCACGTAAAAGATCTTGTAGTATACCAAAACCTGCTTTATCATCATTTCCGGTATAACTTTTTGTAAATATTAAATGTTCTGACCTGTGTGTGTGTGTAAAAAATATTAGAATTTAATAGAAATTCTTGATGAAAATAATAATAATAATTATCGTACCCGAAAGCAGAATAAGAAACTCCATTATTAACATTATTTTCTTTATTACAATTAATCGAATGTACAAAATGAAGAAGTTGATCGTTCATTATTCTCATTTCAATTGATTTTGATTTATCTGCATGTGACCATTTATCATCGAATGATTCTATTGATTTTATTAATTCATCAACGCTTTTAAAAAGTGTTTCTGTAAACGAAAAACCCCCCCCCCAAATATTAATAATAATGATGATCGTAATAACGGAAAATGAAAAATTAAAAGGGTTACCTAAAAATAACGTATGTTTAATGGCGATCGTTTTAAATCTTTTTTCCAATACTTGAATAGAATGTTTAAAAAATTTTACATAACTATTAAGACTGTATGGTAAATTATGATTTTCTGCAACGTTCCAAATGGCCGAACTCCAAAAACGTGTTATTTCTTTAATAGTTTCATTATTCGATCTATAAAAAAAAATCAGGTACAAAATCGATAACGAAAGGAAAAAGGGAGAGGGGGTGATTTTCAATTAAATTAAAACTCACGGTTTAAAACTTTCCATTTTTAAATAAGGTATACCGTAATAAATAAAAACGTTATCTGTTATCAATGGTAACATGACGTCAATTGATGGTTTTTCCATGTTAACATTTTCCAATGTTTTAAAAAAAAGTTTTTCCAATATGGGTGTCGCGATCGATTGTGTTTTATTGTTTCCTGTATTTGCCAAAAAAAAAAAAAAAACCGTTAACGATAGTTCGAGACGTTTATTTTAATAAAAATATAATTTAATGTACCTAATTTAAAATCCGAATCGACTTTTAGATACGCCACTGTTTTACTTATTAATTCCGACCATAAATTTTCCGGATGTGACATCAAATGTTGATTTGGTCCATTCAAACCCCAAAAAGCAATTACGATTGATCTGTGCGGACGCCAACCTGATAATTATTTATTATTATTATTATTATTATTATATTTCTTCATATTATTATTATTATTATTATCATTAGTATTAAATAACCTTTATTTTTTAAATTTCCTAAAACTCTAGAAATTTCCATTAATATTCCATTTGCCATCATTGAATCGTTTTTTGATATTTTTTCACTTGCCAACATAACAAAACGATCTAACGGAATAAGATAATTAATGTTATTTAAACCCTTTTAACTCTCAAATAAAAAATTCCACGTCGTCTGCTTTTAATTTACCCGGTTCCTGGGATCCTCTTAACGCTCCCAAAACGTCGAAATATTTTTCAACCGTGTCGATAGTGTTTATTTCCATTTTAATTTTCCAATTTGTTTTTTTAAAACCTGGACCAATGGGATAAGAACATTTTAATTTTCCTCTCCAACTTTCAGATGTTAATTCATTTTCAAACATGTTCCTGTAGGAAGGAAAAACAAACCAAAACAATCGAATTTGTCTCTTTTTATCATCGAACAAACAGATAAAACTCACGTGAATATTTTTTCAGCATCTTTTGAATCGATTTCCAGTACTGGAACTTTTCCATTCCCTAAAAAAAATAGAAAAGAAAAAGAAAATTTTTTTCAAATTTTTCTAACGTTATTAGATTTATGGAGATGGGGACGGTAGGCGGCGGCCATTTTTATTTTTCGTGAATTTTGTTTCTTTTCGATTTCGTTTTACGTTTGTCTGTCCTACATTTCATCATTTTTTTTTTTTTTTTAATTTTGGGTTACAAACTCACATTTGACCTTATCAATGGACTAACACTTATCAATTTGATTTCCATGTAATATTTTTAATTTAGCTAAATCGCTCGGTGTTATCACTGGGAGTTTAACGGTTTTTTCCTGTTGCGGATCCACGTAAACGATAATTCCTTCCGCTTCGTGATCCAATGCATTGTTAACGATATCAATTGACGGTATTCCTCCGGCTCTGACTAAAACTACATTTCCGGTTGCCGTCACTCCTACAGAATCTAAAAAATGATAATCTTCGTTACGTCCGAAATTAACGTACACGACATTTCCCTACAACAACAACAACAAAAATTCAATTTTTTTCATTGGTTCGTTTCGTCTATGACGTCACGTCAACGTTCAGAAATTTCATTTTTAAAATTTTACTTTCACAACGGCTCCTCCTTCTCCTTCCGATTGTGTTCCTGATTTTCGTTTGTCGTTGTATTTTTCTCTCGTGTCGTTTATTTGCAAAATTATTGTTTTATCGTTTTCTACAATGAAAACCTTAAGAAAAAAAAAACGTAATAATAATGATGATTTTCGTTTTTTTTTAACGACAAAAATAATAATAATAATAAATGACACATCCTGTTTTCCAAGTACGAAATGAATGATAATAATATTATTATTTTATTACTTACCTGATTCGCATAATTATTACTCGGATATGACAAATGTATTTGAGATTCAACTAATGGCGACACTAAATCGAAGCCATTTTCCGAAAGGTGTTTTTGTATTATTTCAGCTTCTTTACGTGGTTCGATAACTGATTCGAATATCGTTTTGTTCTTTAATAACCTGGTGGTATGAAAAACAACAGAGTGAGAGAGAGTGAGAGAGAGAAAGAGGCACACACACACACACACAGACAGACACATTGAGAGAGAAAGAGAGAGATGGACAAAGAAATAATCAACGGTAGAGAGACAGAAAGATACACACACACACACACACACACACACTGACAAACAGAAAGAGAGAGAGGGGGAGATACACGCACACACACCCAGAGAGAAAGAGAGAGAGAAAACAAATTAATTAAGAAAAATAGAACGAACGTATTGGGGAAAAAACAGTTTGTAAAAATAATATTGGCAAGAAAAAAGGAGTGACAGATGTCGGCAAAATTTTTTTTTTTTACACCATATGTAATAAAAAAAAAAAAAACGTTCGCAGGTAAAATAAAAAAAACCGTTCGATCACAACATATTCCACACATCAAAACGAACGTTTTGACACACGTGACAAACAAAAAAATTTCTTATTTTTTTTTTAAATTAATCCAAACGTTCGGACATTAATCCTCTCGCTTGAGCCGTCACGGTGCCAACATAAATAATAAAAAAGGATTAAAAAAAATTAATCGATTCGATTCGCTAATCGATAAAATAATATAATAAATAATTAGGTGAATAACCTTTAATATTTTCGCAATCGATTTCACCTTTCTAATTCCACGACTTTTTTTTTTTTTGTTACAGGAGAAACTTACGATACGTGTTCCAATATGGAAGATTCCGATATGTCGTCCAATAGATTGGTGACGTTAAATTGAGAATAATTTTTATAAGTTCCAAAAACTTGCTGATGATGTAAGTGAGCTTTTTTTAATTTATTTCTACTTAATTCTAATTCTTGATCGAATACGAATCGTCCCAACAGGAAACCTTAAAACCAAAAAAAAACCGTTAAATTTTAAAAAAAAAGGCGCGAAAAAAAATTCATTTCGGTTTTCGGTTTTCCGTTTCGTTTTTTGTTTTGTTTAAAATAATTAAAAATTTTTTACTACGTTTTTTTTTTTTTTTTTCCTTTGATGTTTTTTTATTTTCCTTTGTTTTTATTTTTACAATCGTCTCAAAGGAAAATAAATAAATAAATAAATAAAATGAACTTTGACGACAATAATAAAAAATAAAAAAATCATAAAAAAATTTTATGGCGGTAATAAAAAAAATGATATTCAAATTATTATTTAACTAATTAATAACTTTAATACGTGTAAGAAGATTTAATAATCGATTGATCGATGTATCGATCTATCGATCGATCGATCGATCGATACATCCACGATTTGTTTACGTAAAACAAAATAATTTTTTATTTATTTTTCGGTTTGAAATTCTAATTAAAAATATTGAGAGTTGGGATAAAATTAGGCGTGGCAGAAGAATAAATAAAACACACACACGTGCGTGTAACTAGAAAAAAAAAATTCATTGAATACAAAAAAAAAAAAAAAGGTTATTAATTTAAATTTTAACACATATCATGCGTTAAAAAAAAAAAAATGGATGAATTTATTGTCGGACATTAAAAAAAAAATGAAAGTTTTCATACGCCCAAAAATTATTATTATTATTTTATAATTAGAATTTTGCTACGGTTCAAATAATCCGAGACGTAATAATAATAATAATAATAATGAAAAAAAAACTCACCGCCTAAAAAAGCTAAAAATCCTAATGAAAACATAAATGAAAAACACATTCGTTTACTAACGAATTCTGTCGGATCACCGAAACCTCTAGAAGGCGGTGGAAAACTTAAAACTCTTTGCATTTTGTTTTTTTTTGCTTTAGGGGATCCTCGTACCTGAAACTTAAAAAAAAAATTTTTTTTTTTTTTTCAAACGACAAACAAACAAACAAAAACAACAACAATAAAAAAAAAAAATTTAATAGAGAAAAAAAAGAAACAAAAACTTTTGCCAATCGTCGTTTGAGTTATTCTAAGAAAATAATAATAATAATAATAATAATAATAATAATAATAATATTAATAATAATAATAATAATAATAATAATAATAATAATAATAATAATAATAATAATAATAATAATACTTTTGAGGTTTAAAGATGTCAAAAAAAATTTTCTTTTTTTTTTTTTTTGGCTTTTTTCCCTAAATCTCTCTCTCTCGGTTCTTTTTTTTCTTTTGTTTTTTATTTTTTTTTTTGCGGTTGTTAACGACACCCAAAAAAATTGAAATAAATAACAACAACAACAACAGAAAATTTTTTTTGTTTTGTTTTAATTAAATTTTTTTTCCTGTTGTTGTTGTTGTTGTTCGTAATACAAAAAAAAAACACTTAAAATCTTAACATTAAATAATAATAATAATAAACGTGGAGATAGACAAAACACTTAAATATAAAAAAAAAAAAAAAAAAAACCACTTGACGATAATAAATTTTTTTTTTAATAATAATAATAATATTATTATTATTATCGTGTTTACGTTTTTATTTTATTTTCGTCGAAAATATTTTTAGACCGACGACGCCGCCGCCACCGCCGCCTATATTTCGTTCTATAATAAAAAAACAAACGAAACGCGTTTATTATAATTAATTAATAATTATTTATAAAAAAAAAAACCGGAAAGTCATTTTCAATAACATTAAAATCGTTAACAAATATCATCATTATTAACGGTCGATTTATAAATAAATATATCTTCTGCTTTATTATTATTATTATTATTATCCGACGATTTATTTATTTATTTATTTTTTATTTTTATATCGAGTAATAAATTTATAATAACTTCCGGTTATAAAATATTATTTTTTATTTATTATCCGTGATATTTTTTTTTAATAAGAGATCCGTCGCACCGACTAAAACTTACCGGATACGATAGTAATAATAATAATAATAATAAAACCGGAAATACTTTCAAAATATTTTATTATTCGACTTATTGTAAAATAATAACGATTGAATATTTTTAACGAACAAAATTATTTTTATTTTGAGGTGACCGACAGAAAAAAAGGCAACAGGGCGTCAAATTCTTGGTTGTAATTATTTAAAATTATTTTTTTTTTTTTTTTAAATGGATACTCTTGCGTGTCGGCGTTCAAACGTAAAAACAATGATAATAATAATAATAATAACAACAATGCAAATTTTTTTTCCTCTGTTCCTCTCCTTTGCCTCCCTCTCACACCCCACCCTTTCGCCCCCTCGCCTTTTTTCTCTAGAGGAAGGGGGTAAAAATATAAGAAAGTGAAGGGGGAAGGAGGAAGATGATGAGGAGGAGTGGGTAAAAAAGTAAACGTTTGAGTGGAAAGGGAAGGTGAAGAAGGGAGAGGGAGGGAGAGAGAGAGAGAGAGACGGCGAAGGTTTTGTAGTAGAAAGGGTAAAAGGGGAGGGGGAGACGACGTAGCTTACGAGTGAAATGGGTGGAAGGGATGGAAAGGGGAGTGGGAAACGACGAAAAGTTTGAGTGGAAGAGGGAGACGACGTAACTTGCGAGTAGAACGGGTGGAAGGGGAGGGAAAATAGGAAGGAAAAATATCAAATTAACAAGTGGAAGGGGGTGAAAAGGGGAGGATAAAGTGGGAGGGAGTGGAGCGGATGGTAAGAGAGAGTGGCGGTCCTTCGTTCGGTTGCCAAAAAATTTATAAATTTTTTTAATCGTAGCATTAACATGACAACAGTTTTACGGTTTTGAAATTTTTTTTTTTTTAGTAAATTTACAACAGCAGACGACATTTTTTTTTTTTTTTCTTTTAAACTTAAATTTCTTGTTTTTTTTGTCTGGTTCTATTATTAACTTTTCAATATATATTTTTTATTATCTATAATTAAATACGAATAGTAATGAAATAATAATAACAATAATAATAATAATAATAATAATAATAGTAATAAATAAATAAATAATAATAATAATAATAAATTACGTAATTAAAATCGATATTGGTAATTAAATTAATTTTACCGCGGAAAGACAAAAAAAAAAATGGGGGAAAAATAAAACGAAGGAGGAGGAGGGGGAGTTAAACACGTCACACGATTGATGGAAGGAGGGAGGGAGGAGGGGAGGAGAGGGGGGGAGAGTTATGGAATTTGAATAAATAATGACGCGTTTCAAATATTTTTTATAAGTAAGAGGAGAAAAAAAATCGGAGGGGAGGGTGCCGGCCGAGAGAGAGCTTAGAAAAGGGGTAACAAAAATTAACAGACGTTCTTTTTTTTTTTTTTTAAATTTTCCCGCCATTTTTCCTTTTAATTAAAAAAAAAAAAAATTTACTGTCGCGTAACGTGTAAATGGCATTTACGACGACACGTTCCCACCATCACGAATTTTTTTTTTTTTTTTTTAATTAATTTATAAAAATATTTACTATTCTCAATATTTGTTTTTTAAATATAGAACGTGAATAATTTTTACGTGTGTGTGTGTCTTTTAAAATCTTATTTAAAAAAAAAATCATTATTATTATTATTTTTAATAAATTAAAAAAAAAAACAACAACAACAAAAATTTTTTAATATATTTTTTTTTTGCTGCTGTTTTTATTGTTGTTGTTGTTGTTAAAAATAAAATTAAATCAATTTTTGAATTTAAAAAAAAAAATTTCTTTTAAATTAAATTAATAATAATAATAATAATAAGAATAATAATAATGAGTTTTTGACGTATTTTAAATAAAAAATTTTTTTGCGTAAAGAAAACAATAAAGAAAGAAATATTGAAGGAGTTGGAGTGATGGAAAAAGGGAGAGAGAGAGAGAGAGAGAGAAAGAGAAAGGAAAAATAAATAAACATGAAATGAAAGAGAGAAAGAGAGAGAGAGTGAGAGTGAGAGTGAGAGACAGGGGAAAAGAGTAATAGAGAAGAAAGGGGAGAGAAAGAAAAATGCTTAAAAATGTGAAACAAAGAGAGAAAGAGAAAGAAAAATTGGAGAGTTATAAAAGAGTGAGAAAGAGTATAAACGTAAAAAGAAAAAAAAAATGAAAGAGAGAGAGAAAGAGAAAAAGAACAAAGATAGAGTAGAACAGAACGAAGGGGAGAGAAAGGCACAAGCGGGAAAATGTGAAACAAAAAGAGAGAAAGAGAGAGGAAAATAAAGAAGAAAGTAAAAAGACAAAAAAAAAAGTAAGAAAGGCAAAATGAAAAAAGGGAGGGAATGGGAGATAAAAAAAAAGAGAGAGAGAAACAAACAGAAGAAAGTGGAAATGAACGAAAGATAGAGAGAGAGAGACAAAATGCAGAAAGAAAAAAAGAAACAAAGAGAGAGAGAGAGAGAAAGAGAGATAAAGATATATATATATTTAGGCTATGTAAATAAATAAATAAAAATAATCGCAACCATTTACACCAACAGTAATTTCTCACGGTTTCATTTTGTTTCTCACGTTAATTAATCAGGGTACGATGGACGATCAGGTACTTACATAACTTATAAAATTTTATAATGCCCCGTAGAAAAAAACGTTGAATTCATAATAATAATAATAATAATAACATAAATATAATAAAATAAAAATAAAAAATTTTCACGCAATAATTTATCATCATCACCACCACCATCATCGTCATCAACATCATTCTTTATTATTATTATTATTATTATTATTATTATTATTATGAGTTGACTAATTCTTATAAATATAAATATAATTTTGATTTTTGGCGGTTATTTGAAAAATCTGCCAGAAAAAATTATTATTATTTATTCAACTGTCTTGGATATTTCGTTAAAAAAAAAAAAAATCGTAAATTTTCCCGGTGTAACGCAACAGCGACAGCAAACACATAAAATGATGGTTTCACTCATTTGTTTTTTTTTTTTTTTTTTTTAAATACAAATTTCGATACTTTTATTATTATTATTATTATTATTATTGTTATTTAATACGGTAGATTTCTCGCAGCAAAAAAAAAAAAGAAAAAAAAGATTTTTTATTTTCATTTTTTTTTTTATTTTGCCAGATCGATAAATCGATTTTTTGTTATCCTGTCGTAAATTTGCAAAAAAAAAACCTTCGAGAGTTTTACCGCAAAAAAAAAAAAATTTTTGCTACACGCAAACAAAAAAAAAAAAACACAAAAACAAAAAAAAAATTGTCTGCATGTTTACGTGCAATTCATCATCGAAAAACAAAAATTTATTATTATTATTATTATTATTATCATAACATTTTATTAACGATAGCAAAAAAAAAAAAAATGAAACTCAAAGGGGGGTATTACTTTGCTAACATTCAAACACTCGACAATATTAATAATAATAACAGGAAAAAAAAAAAAACAAAAAAAAACAATTTTCTTTATTTTTTTTTTTTTTAGCATCGTTGATCATAATCATTATTATCATCATTATCATCATCTCGTAACCTTTTCCCTCCTCTATCATCGATTTTAATACCTTTTTCACCTTTTCTATTTTTTTTTTTTGTTTTGTTCTTCCAACCTTTTGTAATTTTTAAACGTGATATTAAAAAAAAAAAAAATAAAAATGGCGGAATATTATCACGCGATCGTTTAAACACATATTTAATTTTTTTGCATTAATTTCTTTCTTTCTTTTTGCGTCAATCGAACCTTAACCTTTTTCTCATGTCCTTTCTAACAACCCACACATACCCTCCCCTCTCTCCCCCTCTCCCTCTCTTTCTCGCACGCTAATTTTTTTTTACGCCGTCGTGTACATTAACAACAACAACAGGAAAATTTAAATTTATTTATCCGAAAAAAAAAGGTTTAATTATCCTGACCGATTGGTATTGATAATAATAATAATTAATCGGGGGGGTTTTTAAACGTATGACGTCATCGTTACCACAACTACTTACGTACACCATTTGAATTTATCACAAAGAAAAGGTTATCCCCTCCCTCTCCCTCTTCTCCTCTCCTCTTCCTCTTCCCTCCCACATTTTTTTTAAATTTCTACGAAAACCTTAAACCGTAATCATTATTTTTATTATTATTATTATTATTATTATTATTATTATTATTATTGAAAACGTTTCGCGTTTAAAAAATCGTAAAAAAAAATAAAAATAAAAAAAACGACAAATTTATTATTACACTTTGACCTCTTTAACGGTCACCTTCTTTTTTTTTTTTTGTTTTTCTTTCCTTTTCCTTCTTTTAAAGTCCTTCCTTCCTTTGTTACGCAATTTTTCCTATATAAAAAATTTGCCTCATTCTATTATTATTATCATTACTCGCATTTGTATTATATTTACGCACTTTTACGCTCGTGTGTCTCTTTTTCATTTATTCCAAATAATAATAGTAATAATAAAATTTTAAATTACGTCGCGAGAAAAAAAAAAAAATAAATTATTATTATTATTATTAGAGAAAAGTTAATTAATAAACTGATAAAAAAATTATTTATTAATTAATAAGTTTAATAACAATAATAATAATAATTAGTAAATTTTTATTGGTTTACCTGCTTCGAGCAAAAAAAAAATTTTTATTTATTTATTTATTAATCGTTTGATAATTTTTTAAATATTACACTATTCCTGGACAAATATCGACTGTCGCGTTTGTTTAACGTACAACAACCACAAACAACAAACAACAGCAACAACAGAGACGAACGTAAATATATTTTAAAAAAATAAATAAAATTAAAACGATTTAAAAAAATAAAATAAATAATTCACTCCAAATCCGTTCTCATCACTTTGACAACTGAAAAACTAACTACTTAGAAAAAAAAAAATTAATTTTCTCTCTCTCTCTCTCTTTCTCTCTCTCTCTCTCTTTCTCTCTCTCTCTCTCTTTCTCTCTCTCTCTTTATTATTTCCTTTCCCCTCTTTTACTTCCCCTCATTTTATTTTTTCCCCCACCTTTTCACACACACACGCACGTACGCACGCACGGTCGTATACGTTTACCATCATATTCATTGCACATATTTATTTTAATTTTTTTTTTTTCTTTTCATTTCATCATCATTATCATCATCATTATTATTATTCGTTAAAACTATGACGTAAATTTTTATTTTTAAGTGACGTCATTAAATTTACAAACGTTTTTTTTTGCGGTGTAATATTATTATCAATATCGAGGGAAAAAACAAATTCGAATTTTATTTAAAAATGGCGGGCTTTTTTTTAAAAAATGGCGTCACGTTTTGTTTTTGTTTTTATATAATTTTGGCAACAACGCTTTGATTGTGAAAACGTAAATAATTCCGTATGCCAATATGAAAACCGTTATTAATTATGTATGTATGTATTTAATTAAGTGGATAATAAATATATTATAATTAAATAAATAAATTTAATAAAACGATTGCGGGAATCGGGTAAAATCGTTAGTACCACGACGAATTAATTTAATCTCCTTACACTTTTCTTACCGATTTGGCAACGTTTATAATCATTTTAGACCATTCGTCATGTTATCAACGAGTATAAGGTAAACGTTAATATTTTTTTTTATTTTTTATTTAATTATTTATTTGATTTTGTTCTCGCGAAATGTCTTTGGCAAATTCGATCGTTAACAAGTTTAAATACATAAATAATAATAATAATAAAAGTAATTTAATAAAAGAAATAATAAGGAAAAATCATGGGGAAAACGTAATTGTAACGACTACTCAGGATGATGTAAATAAAAAACCTCACGAGCCGGTTATGTTAAATGAAGTTATAAAAAATTTAGATTTAAAAAAAGGGAATTTATTTTTAGATATGACATTCGGTTCGGGTGGACATTCTTTGGAATTATTAAATCGCGTACCTGATTTAAAAATATTAGCTTTAGATAGAGATCCAATTGCTTATGAATATGCATTGAATGCTAAGGAAAAACATCCGGATAACATATACCCGCTGTTGGGTAAATTTAGCGATTTGCCAAAATTATTAAATGATAATAATATTAAAGCTAACACCATAGACGGTATATTATTAGATTTGGGTTGTTCATCAATGCAATTCGATACACCTGAAAGAGGTTTTTCAATAAATAACGATGGACCCTTAGATATGAGAATGGATTGTGATAGAATCAAAGGTAGTCTAACAGCAGGTGATGTAATAGCACATGCAACTGAAATGGAATTATATAACATATTTAAAAAATATGGAGAAGAAAAAAGATCAAGGAAAATTGCCAGAGCCATAACGCAAATGAGAAACACATTTAAACCTATAAAAACGACAAAAGATTTAAACGATTTGATCAGCGTTGTTCTCACAGATGTTAGATATGATAAATTAAATAGGAAAACAGGCACAGGGACTAAAATATTTCAAGCATTGAGAATATTTGTCAATAATGAATTGAATGAACTCAATTATGCTATGACATTAGCTCATCATTATTTAAAAGTCGGATCCAGGGCTGTCGTTTTAACTTTTCACTCACTCGAAGATGTCATCGTGAAAAGACATTTTAAAAATCAACATCAATTAAATTATGTACAAAATTTACCCTTAAATATGATTAATTCTCTTAAAACATATGATGAATGTGAATTTAATAGTTTTAACAAACAATATTGGATTCCTGTTAATAAAAAAGTTTTGATTCCGGATTCATTTGAAGTTTGCAATAATCCAAGGAGTAGATCTGCTAAATTAAGAGCAGCTATCAAAACTCAAGAATCAGTTTACAAGTGATTACCTTTATCAGTTTTATTCAGTTTAAATAAACAAACATATAATAATAATAATAATAATTGTTGTCATAATTTTTTTCTTTTCTTTCTTTCATCAATCAATCAATCAATCAATCAATCATTCTTAAACAAACAGGGAAAATAATTAAAAACATTTAAAATGCAAAAAAAATTTTTTTATTTAAAAAAAAGTTTTTTTTTTTTTTACAATCTACCAGGTAATAATACAATTTAATAATAATAATAATAATAACTTATCAGTACATAATTAAGTACGTAAAAAGATGAAATAAATCATCCATAAACGTCTTAATAATAATAATTATTATTAAAAACCTTAAAATTATTCATTATAATAATAATAATAATAATAATAGTAAAAATACAAAAAAAATTCATTTTTAGGGGTGTAAATTAAAAAAAAAAAAAAAAAATTTTCCTGATAAAAATCAGTCTCTCTCTCTCTTTTTTCATCATTATTTTCTTACTCTTTTTATTAAGTCTTTCGTTTTTTTTTTTTTTTTTTTTTATTCCCAATAATTAATTAATAACCCAAATATAAAATGGAGTAAATTTTTATTACAATAAAAAAATTAAAAAAAGGAACGACGTAAAACACAAAAAAAACATACAATCGTTAATATTAATAATAATAATAATAATTACATTTAAAAAAAAAAAAAAAAATTTTGGGGAGTAAAAAAAAAAACAAGCGCATATGAAACCAGTCTTACATAAGGTGTCAAAGGGTGACTTTATCGGCGGGGGGGAGCGGTCCGGGTTGGGACGGGGGAGAGAAAGGGAAACGGATAAAAAAAAACTTGAAATAAAAATAAAAAATTTCATGATATGTCCACTAAATCAGTCTTTAGAGAGAGGGAGGAGGAGGAGGGTAAAGAAAGAAAAAATTAACAAAAGTCTTTTCGAGTGTGATGTGTCTAAATACTGTAATTTCCACCCACTCCTCGCGCTCACCACCACCCCCTCCATCACCCTTGGGTGGTACAAAACAAACGAGTCTGCGAAAGAAAGAAAGAAAAACAAACAAACAAACACACAAACAGACAGATTAGAGTAATTCTTATAAAATGCTACAACTTCTCCCTCTTCTCCTTCTTCTTCTTCTTCCTTCTCTTTTCCTCATCATCCAACCATCACTACAACCCATCATCATTACTATCACTACACAACAAACACAACAACAACAACAAAGAAGACAAAGACAAAGACGAGGACGAAAACGATGACGAATACGAGAACGACAAATTTTAACCTACCAACAAATTTTACGATGATGATAATAATAATAATAATAACAATACCAATCAATATCATCATCATCATCATCGTAATTTTTTTTTTATTTTCTTTTTCGTACTATCAGTGTGCTCTTTCTTCTTCTTCTTCTTCTTTCTTCTATACACTTCTACTTCTACCTCTACCTCTACCTATCTCTCACACACACTCTCTCTCTCTCTCTCTCTCTCTCTCTTTTTCATCATATACCTTCACTACTTTCCTCTCGCTTCATCATTCTCGTTTTTTTAGTATGAATAGAAAAAAAAATTACAAAATAAAATAATAATAATAATAATACGATAGAAAACTTATCAATTAGTACCGCACGAGTATCCGGAGAGAACAAGACCAGGATTTACCACCTAAACTAATAATTTTTTACATACGTATCCATAATAATAATAATAATAATAATACTATCATTAAAAAAAAGGCCTTACGACTAATAAATCAATATCGATCGATATTACAAATCAAAAAAAAAAAAAAAACCACTATGAAACACGTTTTACATTTAACAATCGTAATTAATAATAATAATAATAATAAGATAATAATAATAATAATGATAATAATAATAATAATAATAATTAAAACGAATTAAAATCATCACATTAAACATTTAATAATACACATTAAAAAAAAATAAAGAAGAAAAAAACGCGAAATGTTTTTTTTTACGTCTAACACGAATTTAATAATAATAATAATAATAGTATATACGTTATATCATTAATACTTTTAAAAAATTATTACTATAAAATATTATTAATATTAATATCATTATCATTCATTCATTCATTCATTCATTCTGTTTCCTACTACGAATTTCAACCTCTCATAATAGATAATTGTATATAAAAAAAAAATTATTATTTATTAATTAGTGCGTCGAGTTAATCATTATTATCATTATTATTATTATTATTAATCGTTACCGACCCCCGGGGGTGGGGGCGCGTATTATACTAAACTAACTTAAAAAAAACTCACAACCATTTAAATATTATCGGAGACGAGAAAAATCAAATTGAAATTTTTTTTTTTAATAGTAAAATGAGTAGTAGTTAATATACTGGCGACGA